TTGTTTTCATTCGGAAGGAGCTAATATACTTTAATAATTCATTTGGCATTTCTGGAAGGTCTTTTGCTTCTGTATTACGGATTTCTTCCAGTTCTTCGGAGGTAAAAATATTGTTTTTAATATAAGATTCATCATCAGGGTCAATAATGAATGAATGTGCAAGGCTGGAAAAAAATATTAATGAAAGTGAATCACACGGTCAAAATCAGAAATTTCATTACAACAAATACATGTATATCTTCACGTACTGTTCAAACCGGCATTGATTTCCAAAAGCATATAATGCATCTTCAACACATTTCCCTGATGTCAAATACCATTTTTTCTCATTTTTCATTCCTCTATATGAATCTTTAAATTCAGATATACTCGATTCACTCATTTCTCTACTTTCATCATCTTCATAAAAATCATTATCCTCATCAGAACATGTAAATTTATACTCTATTGTGTCATCCAATTTCCTAAGTTTCTTGGTGAACCGATTCGGTTGTTGTTCATTGGGACTCAACATGAATTCATTGATTTTGTCATTTAAATCCTACAGAGATGAAAAGTTAAATCATAGTTATGCCATAAAAAATTATATCAGCAGTAACATTAAATAACTATACTGATTTTCTCTGACCTTTGAACTTTGTCTTTGTCCGCATTTAGTATGTGAAATATTTGTTGCACCACTTCCATTTGATGTTATTCCATTATTCAAATAGTCTCCGTAAAAGTTAACTGAAGTTTCACTGTGAGATGAGCACGAATACGATCTGGCCGAGAACCCTGGCATGTGAAATTGTAAGTCAGCAATATCCTTTTATTTTTTAAATCACTTCCTATTTCTATCCCACCAGGTCGACTTTGAGCCTTGAACGTAAGACAATCTTCGAGATTGCCACCGTCCCAGTGGGGTTAGTGTTAGGTCGACTTTGAGCCTTGAACGTAAGACAATCTTCGAGATTGCCCCCGCCCCAACACTAACTTCGTAGCTTGCCTTCGAGGCTTGAATGATACGAGACCTTCGAGGTCCCGCACACGCTACCAAATTCTCTATATTTTTAACTAAAAAAATTACATTCACCTCTCTATATTTTGCAAGCAACTCCTTTGCTTTATTGCCCCTTTGTCCTTTATTGGTATTAGCTATTATTTCGAGAGATTTAATGTAAACGCTTATTTTATCACCTAAGTCTTCAAGTTCACATTCCTGTAGGAAGTCTGTAATATCCCACTCAGAGTACCTCCGATTAAAATATTGATGTATCACTTCAGACATAGTTGAAGCTTAAAAAAGCGTGCACAAGTAAAAAATTTTTTAAAGAGACACGTAAGATACTGCTGATCAATATTCAGAGTTGTAAAAAGTCAGCACCAGATCGTGATCACAATATAAGAGTGCGAACAATCAACCTAAATAAAGGCAGAATGAGTGGAGAAGATGTTTTAAAAGGATAGTATATCTACGTTGTGTTCACTCGACACTTCTTTTTTGCTTACACTAGATATATTAACAAAATTTTATATGGGGTTTTCCAGGAAAATCAGGCTCTGAGGAAAAAATTTTTTTTTTGAAAAAAATATATAGATCAAAAATCTGCTACACGAGATGATTAATTTGTAATACAGTGCGTGTCACAATAATACATCCATTTTTATATAGAGTGGCAAAATTATCATGCAGTTTGCACATTATTTTTTATTTTTTTTAAAAAGTTATATTAATGAATATTCTATAAATGACTTTCCCCAACTTCTTATACATTTTGAAAACCATAGGCCTTTATTTAAGATTTTTGAAATTGAATTTGCTGCTTCAATTTTTTTATGATTTCTTTTTAATAATTGAAAATAATATTGCAAAGCTTTTAATCTTAGATTATAACTTTTTGGAATATCAAATGATTCATCAAGTTTGATTTCAATATCTTTTAACAAATAATCATAATTTATTTTTTGAAAATTATCAA